GACACATCCAGCCAGCACAGGACTTTGCAGAGTGATCGCCCTGCAAAACCCCTACAACCCACTTCTATGGGCTCAGAGAAAGTCTTCCAGCTCCTTCCCCTGTACTCCTACACTAGTTCCTGGTATTTTGCGTGTTTCCTCTCGTTGGCCTCCTCGATCCCCTCTTCCCAGTTCCAGCATGATCAGATGTTTTGAGGCCTCAGAAATAATGATCATGTCTGGTCGGAGGGATATTTTTTCAATGTGCTGTGGGAACTTCAGCTGTTTACCCAGGTCAGCCTGAAGCTGCAAATCAGAGACGGTGTTGAGGAGGCCGGTTGTTAAATGTAGGCGCACCTGGGGTTTCTCTCCAGACTTAATGAAAGAGATTGCCTTCCTCGGAGCATGATGGTGCTTGCTGGTCCTGATTGATGCTGACAGATGTGAACAGAGTCAAAGTTTGAATTGTGAAAGATTTTACATCTGTGACAGCAGATGTGCTGTCTGCTGCCATTGTGTGGGTGGAAGTGTAGCAGCTCAATGCAGCATAAGAATTGCAGCCCTTCTCTCTTGAATTTGCTCCAGAATGGAAAAATCAGTTTTTGTGAAAGTGTCAATAATTTTATTCTTTTTTCTCAAAGAAAGTTTCATGGTTCCGTGTTTCCTTGATATAACAACACTAAAGATTTTGATTCTGATACAACAAAAGTCAGAGTGAAAAATGATGCAGTAAGTGAGTCCATTTTGTCGAAATTTCATTGAAGCTACTCATAAGTTTGGATGGCCCCCATGTGTTTGTATGCATGGCTGACAACATGAGGGCATGCTCCTTATAAGGTGTCCTGGGTTATTTCCTACCAGATCTGGCCTACGGCATTACAAAGCCTCTGGACAGTCTGAGGTGCAACATGATAGCATCACACGAACACGAACATAATCTCCCAGAGGTGTTGTATTGGATTTAGATTAGGGTGCAAGTGGGGGTACAAGCAGCATAACGTTCTCCACGGCTTCTCCAGACCGACTCATGTCTGTCTTCATGCTCTGGGTCTTTCTTGGTGCCCTGCCAATTCAGCTATTGTATTGCAAATGCCAGTCAAGCTCCACGGTGCAGGACTGTGAACACTGGGACAACAGGACCCTCAGGGCACCCTCATGAAGTCTGTTTCTAATCATTTGGTCAGAGAAATTCATTCGTGGCCTGCAGAAGTTCACATTGTAGGGTCTGGCAATGCTCATGTGTAATACTTTATCTTTTATGAGTAACGAAAACAACAGTACACAGTATACAGAGTTCATGGTCGATTTAGCGACTGCAAGAAACCCAAGTCTTCTGAGCACAATATGAGCACGAATCATACTCCCACCACCTGTGTTTGGTTTTCATCAAACATAGTGCTGTGCATTATAGCCAAACATTTCTACTGAAACGTTGTGGTTTCTTCAGATACAACATTTAAACCCTAAACCATGGCAGCTGGTTTCTAAACACATGACAGCAAAAACAAGAGTGTAAGAATGAATTTTACTTTTTTCATATAACTGTCCACCGATATAACTAATTACTGTTTTAAATATTATTTATTCCTTGAATGTACAACGAACATCAAAACAAAGTACCTCAAGTATAAAAATGATCATTGTGCAGAACTACCTATTTCCAATTATATTATATTATATTATATTATATTAGAATCAAATGCATGTTTAAATCCAGGGGATTCTAACAGACTTATTATCTGATTTATATTCAAAATTAATAATCTAAATTGCAACACAGCCAGTAACAAAAACTTAAAAATGTAGGCGAGCAGAAAGTACAATATTATCAATCACAAAACACTGTTTAAGTAATGGACTTAGAAACTTAAAAACATATTTATTATAACATAATGCATAATCATGTTGTCATCATCTCTCTTTTTGCATTTCCTGTCCTCCTTTCTTTGTACAGAGTAAGAAATCCACTTGTCTGATCTTGGTGGCAGTGCCATTTCCTGTTGTCAGTACAGAGGGGGCTGCTGCTACCTATTCTTTTATGCGGATGTTTTCACACCTGCCTCTTTGAGTTCGCACCCATTGCTTTTTCTCACGCTATATTTCTTCCAAGCCCACATACACAAACAGATCTTGAAGTAGTATTTATGATCATTTGTTTTCAGTACTATAGTGTCTTTTACAAATGCGCATACAGACCACTCCTCCTCCTAACCAATAACACACACATCAGCAGCTTGTCACAGTGGTTAGGATAGAGATACTGCCTTTTCAGAAATAAGTATTGTAAGCTGGTACTAACGCACATAGCTGTGCTTATGTGGTAACCTCTATTTGTACCTCAATGGTACAAATGGAGGTTACCACAATTTGGGTTGCACTTGACTTTATGTAGGTATGTGTGTGTCAAGCACCGCCATGCGCATGTCCCTTCTGGTATTAGCAAATACACTTCCTTCTTCTAGTATAGTCCTGTGATCCATTTTACCTAATGTATGTTATTATTCACTAAATGTACTTATTGTACTACAGTCTGTGATCTTCTTTTGTCTTTGCCTGTCCTCTTCTACTTCGCAGCTCTAAGTCTCAGATCCTCTTTAGGATGTTATCATGCAATGCCATCTGTTGACTGGCACCATAGTAAAGAAGCTCAGCTAGGTGCTGCACTATGAAGCGAGTTTGATATCCATGATATACTTCTGTTATCTGTCAGTTACATGAAGGTGATTATATACTTGATAGAACAACCCAAGCTTTTCCACAGAAACACAGCTGTTGTTAGCTAACAGCTAGCTAACTTTGATGTAAATCCAACAAGCTTTGTTTTATGATCTTAAATAAAAGGTTATAGAATAATAAAATTGTTTAGAGTTTCTTTATAGTTATAACAATATCAATTTTGATGTCACAATGTTTCTGCAAAAGAGGTCTGATGGGAGTTTCTTAATTAAATGGCGTTGTCCTAGAAGCCAAACACACTAACATATGGAGAAAATCTCTCCCATCTGGGCTTCATTAAACAGCAACTAAAACACATGTGGGCATTGATGAAATCCTATCAACTGTTTAATATCAACCTACCTGAGTCACATTATCTGTAACATTTTAGATAAAGTACTGTATGTGACACACTAGCTAGCTGCACAGCAATGATCCAAATGATCTGCACATCTTATTCTTCAAACATGATGGTTGATTCATCTAAAAATATCTAGCTACCACCTGAGCCACGCACACATGCATAAAAACTTCATTTATAGAGTTTACCTTTCTGATTAAAATCAGGTCACTTAAAGATTAGCTTTCATCTCTTTAGTGCTTGAATGTCTATAAATTACAGTTAATGATTATGCTATCTAAAAGTGTCCTAATGTGAGCTGCTTCATACAGTTGGTGACTGTAATCGAAACAACAAACTCAAATCTTTCCAACTTACTCGCTAGCTCTCCTGCAAGAAGCCCTGCCTTGGAGGCCCAACCCTTTAGCTGCAGCTCCACACCCTTCAACAGCTGGAACAGAGGAGAGAGCTCCAGCAGCCTTGTCCACTCCTCCTCTAAGAAACAGAAGAAGAATGGTTGGCGGTTGGTATGTCTTATCCCTTGAACATTTAAACTGTCCTATTATGGCATCATATCATAAATACCTGGAACTGTGGGAACAGCGATGTGTGTCGACTGAGTGGATCCTTTCATATGCTGGCTCTCTGTATGAGTAAATTAAAACATAATTGTTATTATTTTGTGACTATTTTTAATTCACCTTCTGACTGAAAATTTTAAAAGGAAGTTGTTACCATTCTCTGATCTGTGTAGTATGAGGTCAGTATGTGTGCTCTGTCTCACCCTGGGAGTGAATGCCAGAAGATCCAGTTTGTCTCTGCGAGTTGTGTGTCACTGCCGAGCTGGCTTGTAGCCCGGTGTCCTGAGATTGAGCAATGTTCACAGTCTCCCTGAAAGACTGGGTTGAGATTCCTTTGAGAACGCACAAAGAAACGTGTTGAACCATGTATTTAAGCTGCAGAGGTTTGATATGCAAGTTGCTTGCACATTATCTCAGGGTGTGAAAGAAAGCAAAAATGAAATCCTGACCAAAAAAGCAAGAATATTATTAGCGAAGATGAAAAGGCCACAAAAATTACTGATAAAACCCTGAGTTGACTTTACCTTTGTGTGAACACATTGCTGATGTTCGGGTAAGGAACGCTTGATAAGGAACTGGTAAACTAAACTCGCTTCATAGAAATACCCCAAGTTAATATTTGGACACAGCAATCAAATACAGTCACAGGAATTAAGACTTTCAAACTCCTTAGGTTTTAATTAGTTGTTTTTTCCTCTTGAATTGTATGGTATTGCTATGAAAGCATCGGGGG